TAAGCCCTTGGCTGTTGCTTACACATCAGTTCTTTGTCACATGGGCTTCTCTATAGAGTAGCTCACAGCATGGCAGCTGACTGTCAGGGCAAGGAAGCAAGGAAGCAAAGAAGAGAGCAGGAGAAAGCAGCCAAGGTAGAGGGCAGAGCTGTTTTGGAACCTGCTGCACCCTCTTTTCTGCTCTGATCTATTTGTTAGCAGTACCTAAGTCCACACTACAAGGGCACAGGATCACACAGCAGGTGGAACACAGCGAGTGGGACCAGGCGGGGCCCTCTGTTTTCTTTTTGAAAACTTATTTATTCATTTGAAAGGCAAAGCTGGAGGAAGAGAGGGGGAGAGAGATTAATCGATCTTCTCCCCCAAATGGCCACAATAGCCAGGACTGGGCCAGGCTAAAACCAGGAGCCAGGAACTCCACCCAGGTCTCCCATGGTAGTGGCAGGGACCCAGGTACTTCAACTGTACAGCAACTTCATTGCTGTTTTCCCAGGGCATGTTAGCAGGAAACTGTTCAGAAGCAGAATAGATGGGCTCCAATATGGGATGTTGGTGCAGCAAGCAGCGACTTAATGCAGTGCCAGGCCCTAAATTATACATGCCTTGCATGCAATGATTGTACAACTTTATTGCCAAAATTCTATTGTTTCTAGAATAGCCATTGCCCTATTTCTCTGCTTTGGGTGGGAGGACCAGTTCCTTTTACTCTGTTCCTTTCATATGACTTCACTTTGTTGGCTACTTGTTCCACTTGATGATTTTTTTTAAGATTTTATTTATTTATTTGAGAGACAGAGTTACAGAGAGAGGGAGATACAGAGAGAGAGGTCTTCCATCTGCTGGTTCACTCTCCGAAGGGCTGCAACAGCCAGAGCTGAGTCAATCTGAAGGTAGGAGCCAGGAGTTTCTTCCAGGTCTCCCATGTGGGTGCAAGCTCTCAAGCACTTGGGCCATCTTCTACTGCTTTCTCAGGCCATAGCAGAGAGCTGGTTTGGAAGAGGAGCAGCAGGGACACGAACCAGCACCCTTACTGGATGCCAGCGCCACAGGCAGAGGCTTACCCCACTACACCACAGCACCAGCCCATGAATTCTCTTTATAGTCTTAAGCTGCCCACCTCCCTAAAACTTTATCCTTTCCCTCTTTGTATCTGAGTAAGTGTTTGAACCTTTATGTCTCAGACGTGGACAGTTATTGGAGCGTTTCAAGTCTCCATCTCAGCTCAATCCAATCGAGCCAGTTTTGAGTTATGTACTCACTAACATCATTGCTGTCAGCCAGTGATGAGTAAGAGCGAGGCTCTGCCACCAAGGAACTCCCTCAGCCAAATGGGATTACAGATATGTAAAAGGGTTTAAATGAAGCTGATTGATGACATAATTGCAAAAATAAACAAAGCCGCAGCTCAGTAGAGGGAAAGATTAACTCTTCCAAGGCAGAGGGGATAACCAGGGTTTCTGGGGGGACATGGCTGGGTCTCAGCTGGGTTTGGAAGGACTGAAGCGTCTCCTGGTCTACGTTGCTGAGGACAAGTGTTTGCTGGCATCATAGTCCATCTTTCGCACTTTGCTCTCCCTACTTCATGGCTTCATGCACTGCTCTCTCCTTTCTCCCCATCTCACATCACCCTCCTCCCTTCTTTCCCTTCCTTTTATGGGAGTCTTTTTTTGTGTTTGGCCCTTGGATTTCCTTTAGTTGGAGTGAACTGTCATAATAACCTTTCTGTCCGGTTGCCCAGAAGCTTCGGCTAATGGGAGTATTCTTTACAAACCAATAGACAGTGAACAAAGCCAGCCTGCTAGCTCACATCCCAGCCCCCCTTCTCTCTTTTCACTCTACCCACCTTCCACAGACCACTGTTGAAAACTAAAACGTTCCTGGGCCACTCACGGACGCTTTCCCTAGGTCCCTTCTACCCCTACGGCTCAGTTCCAAGGAGGGCTGTGGGAGAATGCGCTAGCCACTTGCCGCCCCACCCACGTGGGAGAGGCAAATGCACTGCTCCCAGGAGCCAGGGAGAACCTCGGAGTATGGTGGGCTTACATCTCTGGATGGCATCTGCTCACTTCGGGGCATTGCTGCAGACTTGACTTGATGCAACACAGTAATACGCGGATGGTGTGAGAGCAGAGGCTGGCCAGATCAGCCTGAGAAAAGCACACCCGGGGAGCCACCTCTGGGCTCTAAAAACAAGTGAGGACCTGCGCTAGAAGAAAGGGCCCACCATGGCTGCCATGAAGAAATCAACCAACCTACCTACCAGGTTGCATTTCCCCCAAGTTGCACATATGTATTAATCCATGTAACAAATGCCAATGCATCAACACGACTGCTTGCATGTCGAGGAGGAAGATCTCCTGGTTACGTGCAAAATTGTGTGGCTGTCTTCTGGAAGACCTCCGTCCTAAGCAGCTATAGAGGGAAACATTTCATTTAGGCGTCTGGGCCTTTCTCTGTTTGCTGTAATCCACGCTCCCTGAGTAGAACTTGTATTGATCATTGGCACCCAGTTTGTTCCAGGATTCTGGGTTATTCTTTCTGTCCCTACTGACATCTGGGTTGAACGACGCCAGATGCCTGATGGACAGTGTAGCTCCAGTACCTCCGGCTCCAACAGGTGTGAAGAGAGGGCTCAAACTTGGGTGCCTCTTGGCCTGACCGGCTCTCTGGTGGAGAATATTTGCAGCAGAAGTGTGGGGTCCAAAATGAGAGACAAGTAGATGTGCAAGGCCTGGGGCTAGGCAGGCTCTAGACCAAGACAGTGCGAGGCAGTGCCGACGTCCAGAGTCACCCGGGACCTCCTACCTGAAGGCCCAGCTGCGTTCTTGAAAGTCTGTGGGGCTCAGTGACACGTGGTTGTCACCATTCTGCCAGTTCCTGCCTTGCTTCCCGTCCAAGGTGCTGCTCCCCGCCTGCCCACCCTCCCCTTCCGCCTTGCTCCGAACATTCTGTTCCTATTTTCACTGCCCTGACTTTGGTCTCCCTCCTACAACCCCAAGAGAGCGCCACCTCCTACTGCCTGGGGAGTCTTTCTTAAACCATCGTCCCAAACTAGGCCAGCACATTGAGGTCATTGCTCTCCCTGCCAAACAACTGGCCCGCGTTCAGCCTCTCCATCTGTCTGAGCTTCATGGAAAACATGACTGTTGCTCTAGGCTCTCTGCTCCATGTCCTGCCTCAGCTCTGCTTTGCATCTGCTTTTTGGTCTCTTCCCTGTGCCCCACCCCCACCTCTTCTGTCCCTGGCTCTGTCCAGACCCGAATCACATCTGTTTTCTAGCCTCTGTCCCCTCATTATGGAGAAGATGGGATTAGGACAAATTCTGGGCTAGGAAGATTGGAAGAGCTGGCTTTGGGATTCACTTTTGCTCTGGGAACTGACAAGAACTCTTGTATCTCAGAGATGGAACCATGATAGTGCATTCAGAGGTACCTTTATGAATGCCAATTATTCATGTCCTAACTGGACTCTTTCCTTCCATCAGTATTTTTTAATAAAAAAAAGTTTATTTATTTGAAAGGCAAAGTGACAGAGAGAGGGAAAGAGAGAGAGAGAGAGAGAGAGAGAGAGATATCTCCCATCTGCTGGTTCACTCCTCAAATGCTTGCAACAGCCAGTGCTGTGCCAACCCAAAGCCAGGAGCCCAGAACTCCACCTGGGTCTCCCATGTGTATGGCAAAAACTCAAGTACTTGAGCCATAATCTGCTGCCTCCCAGGTGCATTAGAAGTGGAGTCAGGAACAGAAGCAGGACTTGATCCCAGCACTCCTGTATGGGATGAGGGTGTCCCAAGCAGCAGCTGAACCCACTGTGCCACAAAACCCATTCCATTACTGTAAATGCTTTCTCTCTTCTAGTGTATAATGTATGAATACTGCTCTCTAGTTCAACTCACAGAGGAGAGACACAAGGAAGACTCAAGGAGCTAACAGACAACCTGAAACTTACACACTTGGATTCCATCTAAGGTCAGACATTCCTCAGACTTGGATTTCTGTCACTTAACTTTACTGCTTCCAAAGTGGGGGTTTTTTAGTGGCCTGATTACAAGGGTCTCTGAGAAAGAGAGAAAACACAAAGTCTAAAATTCTTGGACCAGAGAAAGCACTATTTATGTATTACATGACCTGATATCATTAAAATGTTTATACTACCTAAAGTGATCTACAGATTCAGTGTAACCCTTATTAAAAGACCAATGACTTCTCAGCAGAATTAGAAAAAAAATCCTACAGTCCACTGTTACATGATCTAAGGAAGAATACTGGTAGAAAATAAGGCAATGAACTTGTTTCCAAATTTTCTTTGGGTTTCTGATGACATTTTGTCCTTAACACTCCAGAAACCAAGTTTCCTAGCATGAATTTAAACAAAGACAGAGACAAAATAAGGCTGGCAGCTCCTCTCATGGAGCTCCTCCACATTTGAAAAGCATTTGGAGGGCTTTGATTGCTTCAGCATTTTATAGTCTTAAGATAGCCAGCATTTCCTTCAGACAAAACTCATGTGATGTCTGTGTTGCTTGGATGTGAGAATAAGAGAGATATTACCAGAGGGGAAAAAATAAGAAGAATCTTCATGGGCAGGTCAAAAAAGAGGCAAAGAAGAAATATAAATGCAGGGGTACATAGAAATGTGTTGGGGTTGGAGAGAGAAATATTTGAAAAGAAAGAGGGTGAGAGAGGGGAATGGAGGAGTGAGTCGAATGCCATCTGAATAGAGGAGATGGAAACAGGGTATGGGAATGTAGGGTAAAATGCTCATGGGGAAGGAACCCAAGGCAAAAAAAAAACAAACAAACAAAAAAAAAAAACCCAAAAAGTTGCTGGGGCAGATTGTGAGAGGGGAAATAGGCTGATAGAGGGGAGACCCAGCCCTGCTAGGGAGCAGCAAGATCTCTCACAGCCTTTGGAATGAGGGTGTGAGTAACTGCTAATTCCCACCTCCCTTCTCATTCCAGCCTTATTGGAACACTGCATTCTACGCCTCTAGCCTGGCTCGCTCTCTCTCTCCCTCTCCCTTGCTCTCCCTCATCTCATTGTATCAGAGGAGGCCAAATCTGAAGTCCAACCCAGGGAGTGGCTTTGTTCCTCTTATTCTCCAGCCAGCGTGGAACAGTGTGAGAAGGAGAGAGACACGTTCAGCAAACAAAGGAGCAGAAAGAGCACAGAGCACCGCAGTGAGTTATTTGTTTACATAAAACTCTAAACAGAGAGAAAGAATATGTGTGAATGTAAGTGTGAGTGTGTTTGTGCCTGTGTGTGTGTGCGTGTTGCATGGCTGGAGATAGCTGGAATGGGAATGACACTGAACTTGGATAGAGCAAGACAAACTCCTGTAGTTATCATTCAAATGACTAGAGACACCGAGATGGGCAGATGATATAAGACATGGGCATAAGAAGGAAGATAAGACAATAGGGGTAAAAGGTCTGGGGTGGGGCTAAGCTGGACGATTTAGAATATAGAATTCCCTCTAGCTTGGTAGACGGGAATGATAAGAACGAGACTAAGATGAGTGACCAGAGAACAGATTGGAAGAAGCAATAAACTTTGAGGGAAAGATGAGATAGGAGAGAAAGCATTTGAGTCCTAAGGGGAGACCAAGAAAGCTCCTGAGAAGACAGAGAGACCGAGGGCCTGGGGTGCCTCTCCCCAGATGTGATGTGCTGGTGTCCCTGAGTTCTCACTCTCTCTCCCCCCTGTCCCGTTAGACATGCTGCTCCTGGGCCCCAAGGTGCTGCTGCTCCTCACCGCACTCCTCATCCCCGCTGGTGAGTCCCTACTTGTATGGGTTTCTCTCTAACACGTCCGCCTCTCCGCGGTGTGAGTGGGTTGGGAGGCAGGATGTAGCAAGGCTGAAGGGGAGCAGGAGGAGAGGTCCACACCAGCTGAGTCACAGGCGTGCAAGACACAGACCCCGTCTGTGCACAAGCCAGAGAAGTGCCCTTCGCAGGGTTCACAGGATCCAGCTAGAATGTTGGCCGCAGAAATCGAACCTTGAACTTTAAAGTAACGGTATGCTATTTTTTCTCTCTCTTTAGGCCAGGCACAGGCTAAGAGACTAATTCTTCAGCCTTGTGCAACAGCATAGCCTGCGGGGAGGCTGTGGCGCTAGCAGGGTTGCACATGCTTGCAAGACTGCTGGACCTGCCTGTGGAACAGGACCCCACAGGCAAGGGGGCTTCCTGAGTGAGGGCATAGCCGGACAGGCCTTTGTCCTCCAGAACTTGTGTTTCTATCCCAGCCAGTTTTTCGTGCACAGCATTAAAAGGCTAATTCTGTATTGAGTCTTGAGGAAGAAAACATAAAGAAAAAGTCCAATCGTTCCTCCGTGATTTTCTGGTTTGTCTCAGCAAGGGTTACGCGGTATAGAGCTGGACGCACTCACATCTTCTTTCCCCTTCCTTTGCTACAGAATGGATGCGCTTGGGTGTCAATGGTCAGAGAGGAGGTAGGTAAAGCCCTGGGGGTGGGCTGTGCTGGGATTCTCCCCAGGCTGAAGTAGAAGAGCAGAAGTAGAGTCTGACCTAGGGCCGAGGGAGACATTACCAACTCACGGGAAATGCCATCTGCTGTACCAGCGTCCACAATCCCACTCCCTCATTCATCAAACCTTCTTGTCTTTCCTCCCTACTAACGAAAAACCTCCTCCCTGCCCATCTCTTGCTTCTAATTGCCCCTAGACATTTCTCATCTCACTCAGAAAATGCCCAACAATCCTTCTAGATGCATTTTCCTATCCATGTAGCAGAGGAAAAACTAGAATGCACAGAGTAAGAAGTCATCTCAGCACTACAGAGAAACCCGTGGTGCAGCCGGACAAACGCAGAAGCTTTGGCGCCCTCAGCCTGATAAGAAAACTCCACCCTGCTCAAGGCGTTTAACAAAAGTGTCATTGTATTTCTTTCCTTTTCCAGACCCATGAGAATTAGTGGATTGAGGACCGTAGTATACAACCCAGTAAGGGGTGGTGAAATCAATTAGTGGGTCACAACTAGAATTTTAAAAAATGAATTAATATACATTAGAATAAATATATCATGGTGCATTATATGTGTTTTGCATGAGTAAAGTATTATTTTATAAACTTATTTCACTTTTTTTTTTAAAAAAAGAATTATTTATTTATTTATTTGAAAGACAGAATTAGAGAGAGAGAAGAAAAAGAGAGAGGGAGAAAGAGAGAGGTCTTCCATGCCCTGGTTCACTCCCTATATGGACACAATGGCTCGGGGCTGGTAGAAGAAAGCGGCCAAACTTCCCAGGTGACTGGAGAGGCCATGACTCAGTTTACCTGCCACCTACCCCCCCAGGGGACGTACCCCGGCTTTGTGCAGAAAGGTTGGGGGTCAGGTCCAGAGTGGCCCAGCGTGGACCAGAAACCATGTGTCTAGCCTTTCCAGAGGAGTTTCTTAATGAGATATTTGTATTTATTTCCAGACCAATAAATTTGTAACTGAAGCCAGGCGCTTCATGCGGGTCTCCCACATGGGTGCAGCGACCCAAGAACTTGGTTTATCTCCTTTCTCAGACACATTAGGGAGCTGGATTGAAAATGGAGCAACTGGGATTTGAACTCACCAACAAATGGGATGCCAGCATCTCAGGCAGTGGCTTTACCCGCTGTGCCACAACACCGGCCCCAACTTGTTTCACTTTTTAAAAAGTATTTATTTTATTGAAAAGGCAAATAGAGAGAGGCAGACAGTCTCCCATCTGCTGGTTCACTCCTCTAATGCCCACAAAATCTAGGGCTGTGCCAGGCCAAACCCAGGAGCCTAAAACCCACTCTAGGTCACCAACCACTTGAGCAATCACCTGCTGTGTCCCAGGGTGCACTTTGGCAGGAAGCTGGAATTGGGAGCAGAGCCGGGATTCCAGTTCAGGTACTCTGATGAGGGATGATACGGGATGCAGCATCTCAAGAGGCGTCTTCACTGCCATAGCAAATACCTGCCCCTGTCTCAGTTTTACAGACGCGATGATGCATCACCGAATGTGTATTTCTTGCTAAAGGTCATAGTGCAGCAAAACTAAAAATCTGGATTGATTTCTCCAAGCAGTTTGAAGGCTGACAATCCTGGTTTATGACCATAGGATGCTTTTCTAGCTGGAATATTGTAAATTATGATAAAAATGTCTTATGTCCTTTACGGAGAACTTCCCGAGTCCAAGCTAGAACATTTTTCTGGTGGAAGCTCATAGAAAAGGTGGTTACGTTGAGAGACAGGCAGAAGAGCAGCGGCTGATGCTGAGGTCTCAGAGACAGCTCAGAAGTCCTCCGCCCTCCCATTGCTTCCTGCCTGTTTCCATGCTTGGCTGAGCTGGAATGCAGCTAGGCCTCTGGAGAAAGGACACAATGGAGGGAAACTGGGCTGCACCCTGGAGAGGCTCCAGTCCCCTCTTACAAGGCTCCAGAATGACTCAGGTCAGTGGTTTTTCACATATGCCATTGGATGAGCACAGACCTGACCACGAATTGTTCTGGGGCAGGCAGGCGTTGGATGCCATGTCGACACGCTGCCTAGAATGTCCACATCCATATCAGGGTGCCTGGGTCCAAGTCCCAAGCTCCACACCCAATTCCAGCTTCTTGCTAACACAAAGGGAGGCAGTAAGTGACAGCTCAAGTACTTACATCCCTGCTGTCCACATGGGAGACTCGGACTGAGTCTCTGGCTCCTGGCTTTGGCCTGGCCCAGCCCCAGATGTTGCAGGCATTTGGGACATGAACCAGCATATAGATCTCTCTGTCTGACTTTGTCTCCATTTCTCTCTCTCTCTCTCTCTGCTGTTCAAATAGCATACAACATAAATAAAATTAAAAATTTAGAAAAAGTGTTCTGAAATAAGAAAGCTTATACTGAGTGTTAAAGAGGTTGTTTTTGTCTAGTCTGATGAATTTCTGTTCAGAATTTAGAAAAAAAAGGCAAGCAAAAGAAAAAATAAACAAAAAGTTAAGGTAAGCAGAGGAAACTCCTATGAAATGAATAAACTTTCCTACAATTATTGATAACTCTGACACATTGTTTTAAAAATGTTTTTGCTCAAATTTAAATTTGACCTTTAGAATTGAAATTTTAGAATGTCTAATCAAACTATGTGGGTTTGCTGACCCCTAGTGGGCAGAATGGATTATGACTATAAACTACGTGGAAAAATACTTGTGGATGGATTATTTACCAAATACATATTTAAATATTATTTGCTAAGAAAGTAGATTTCAGTGCTCTTATCATACACACACAAGATAACTTTTTTTAAAAAATATTTATTTATTTATTTATTTATTTGAAAGGCAGAGTTACAGAGAGTCAGAGAGTCTTCCATCTGATGGTTCACTCCCCAGATGGCCGCAATGGCTGGAGCTGTGCCGATCTGAAGTCAGGAGCCAGGAGCTTCTTCTGGGTCTCTCACGTGGGTGCAGGGACCTAAGGACTTGGGTCATCTTCTATGGCTTTCTCAGGCCATAGCAGAGAGCTGGATCGGAAGTGGAGCAGCTGGGACTCGAACCGGTGCCCATATGGGATACTGGCGCTGCAGGTAGCGGTTTTACCCACTATGCCACAGCGCTGGCCTCTGAAGGTAACTATTTTGAGTGGGTATTTGATGCAGCAAGATGCCTCTTGGGATGCCTGCATCTCACAGCCTGGGTTCGAATCCGAACTACTCTTGATTCCAGCTTCCAGCTAATGCATACCCAGAAAACAGCAGGTGATGGCTCACCGACTTGGGTCACCTGACACCCATAGAGGAGACCCAGATCAAGTCCCTGGTTCCTGGCTTCAGCCTGGCCCAGTCTTGGCTGTGGCATTTGGAAAGTGAATCAGTGAATGGAATATCAGTTTTTGTCTCTCTTTTCTCTTTCAGTCTCTCTGTCTTTCAAATAAATAAAAACAAACACATAAATAATTTTTAAAAGCAACTATGTTAATTTTCTTGACTGTAGTAATCGTGTCACTTTGTACATGTATATGAAAACATCATGTTACACCTTAAATATATACAAATAAAATATTTATCTAAAATTTAAAAATTAGAGTAAATGTTAACAGTGTTTTGTTATTTTTTAAACATAGACATGATTTGTTTTCGGAAGTGCTGTTACTTGGAATTTCTACTATTTTTTTAAGTTTATCTATTGTGGCATAATGGGTTAAGCCACCTCCCAGGATGCCAGTATCCCATATGGATTCTGGTTCCAGTCCTGGCTGCTCCACCTCCAATCCTGCTCCCTGCAAATGTGCCTGGGAATGCAGCAGGGGGTGGCTCAAGTGCATGAGAGACCCAGCTGGATTCTGGGATCTTGGATTTGGCTTTGGCTTTGTCCAGCCTCAGCTGTTGTGACCATCTAGGGAGTGAACCAGCAGATGGAGGATATCTGGGTTCAATTTCACTTATGGGGAGTGCAAGAGTGGGAGTGCTCATAGTAAGCTTTATGATTTTTTTTTTCCTCAGATGATGTGACTCAAACAACTCCAGAAACGTTCACAGATGATCCCAGTAAGCTGCGTCCTGTCTGTGACCCGCCCTTCTGCCTTCCCAGCAGCCCGTGCTCTTGCTTCCATCTTTCTTGTCTCCTTTCAGATCGTCCTCGTTCTTTCTTGGTTCCTTCCTCCCTGCCTCGCTCATCTCCTGTCTTGTCCCTTTGCAGATCTGGTGAATGAGCCCTCTACAGATGAAACAGGTAGGTTTTACTGCACTTCTTTCAAAAAAGGACTTTTCATGGTCACATTTATGATATGGATAGAAGGGTTGTGGGAGTGTTGTTAAGGGACCGTGGGATAAACGGAACGAGGGAACAAACTGCATTCATAACTAAAGTAAGGCATGGATAATAAAGGCTTCCAGAAATCAGTATCATATTGGTAGGATTCATAGTCTTAAAAAAAAAAAGTATGTTGACAGTTACTTCCGTTCATCCAGTATCCTCGGACACAATACACCAACCCAGCCATGGCCTTCCCCTCACCCTTGCCCTTGTCCTAGTGTCTTCATTCTCCCTTTTCCCACTCTGCCTTTTCCCCCTTGCAATTCAGAGCCCGCCTCACACCTGCTGTTTTGTGCCTTTTCAGTTCTGGCTGATATCGAGCCCTCCACAGATGACCTGGGTGAGTTCAGATCTGGGACCCAGGGCCACCAGGGCTATTTTCTGGCTCTTCCCAGAGCCCATTATAGAAGGCAGTGCAGCTACTGCAGAGTCCTAAATAGACAGGATTTACAGCTTATGTAGCACATTCTTCCAACAGTGCCATTTCAATGGATGACATTTTTGAACCGATAACAAGCAGAAAGTATGCTAGGTGTTTGATACACAAACTATCAAGATACGGTCTTTCTCCCAAAGTTCCCAAGACTTGGTGAGTAAGGGCAAGACAAACAAATATTGGGAAAGACAAAGGGAAGCTTTCAAAGAGAAGTGATGCTTGAACTGAAGTTTGAAAGAAAAAGCGGGGCAAGTCAGATGGGCCAGTAAGGGATGGGCTTTCCAGCCAGAAGAGATAACATGTTCACAGACGTGAAAGCAAAACAGAGCTTGGCACAGGAAGGAAGCCGAGTATTTTTAAGGGTCAGGGCAAAAGCTACAATGAACAAGCACTATGAGGTAAGAAAAGGAGTAGAAGTTAGATTGCTTTGGCTTGATTTGCTTATGCTGCATACAAGTAATGCACTGTCCCCCATAAAGATTTCAAGTACTACATGTTAACCAAAAATTTTGAAACATAAACTATTAAGTTTTTTAAAAACTCTGTTAAATATATCTTTATATATATATATATATATATAAAGATTTCTTTATGTATTTGAAAGTCAGAGTTACAGAGAGAGAGAGAGTTACAGAGACGGAGAGAGAGGGAGATTTTTTTTTTTTTTTTTGACAGGCAGAGTGGACAGTGAGAAAGAGAGACAGAGAGAAAGGTCTTCCTTTGCCGTTGGTTCACCCTCCAATGGCCGCCGCGGCCGGCGCGCTGCGGCCGGCGCACCGCGCTGATCCGATGGCAGGAGCCAGGAGCCAGGTGCTTTTCCTGGTCTCCCATGGGGTGCAGGGCCCAAGCACCTGGGCCATCCTCCGCTGCACTCCCTGGCCACAGCAGAGAGCTGGCCTGGAAGAGGGGCAACCGGGACAGAATCTGGCGCCCCGACCGGGACTAGAACCCGGTGTGCCGGCGCCGCAAGGCGGAGGATTAGCCTAGTGAGCCGGGGCGCCAGCCGGAGATATCTTTCATCTGCTGGTTCACTCCCCAGATGACTGCAATGGCCAGGGCTGGGCCAGGCTGAAGCAGGAGCCATGAGTTTCATCTGGGTCTCCCAAGAGCATCATCCTGGTTCTCCCACATGGGTGCAGGGGCCCAAGCACTCAGTCCCTCTTCTGCTGCTTTCCCAGGCACATTAGCAGGGACCTGGATTGGAAGTGGAGCAGCTGGGACTTGAATGGAGTCCATATGGGATGCTGCATTACAGGCGACAGCTTAACACATTATGCCACAGTGCCCACCCCATTGACTGATTTTTTTTTTAGATGTGTTTATTTATGTTAAGGAGAGACAGAGAGAGAGAGAGAGAGAGAGAGAGAGAGAGAGAGAGAGATCTTCCATTCATTGGTTCACTCCTCAAATCGCTGTAGTGGCCTGGGCTGGGCCAGGCTGAAGCCAGGATCCTGGAACTCCATTTGGGTCTTCCATGTGGGTGGCCGGGGCCCAAGCACCAGGGCTATCTTCCTCTGCTTTCCCAGATGCGTTAGCAGGGACCTGCATCAGAAGTGGAGCAGCCATGACTCCAGCCTGCACTAATAACGAGATACTGACATTGTAGGCAGTAGCTTAACCTGCTGCACCACAATGCTGGCTCCCAAAACCAATTAACTTCCACCAGATTTTTGTTGTTGTTTAACAAACAAGTTAGACAAATGAACAGATAAGGGGCCGTTGCTGTGGCATAGCGGGTAAAGCCACCACCTGTGATGCCAGCAGCCCATAAGGGCAACGGTTCTAGTCCCAGCTGCTCTACTTTCGATCCAGGTCTCTGATATTGCCTGGAAAAGCAGTAGAAGATGGTCCAAGTCCTTGGCCCCCTGAACCCACAGGGAGACCTAGACGAAGCTCCTGGTTCCTGGCTACAGATTGGCCCAGCTCCGGCCACTGCGGCCATTTGTGGAGGGAATCAGTGGATGGAAGACCTCTCTCTCTCTGTTTCTGTTTCTGCCTCTCTTTAACTCTGTATTGTAAATAAATAATATTTTAAAAAACGAACAGATAAGTTTATTCAGTTCCATGAAGTGCTATAATTGGAGTAAGAATAAAGAGACAGAATGAGTCCTTGGTTAAGTTCATCGATGGGATTAGGCACAGCTCCTCTGGAAGGCACGTACACTAAACTGCTTCCTGAAAGACAAGTGCAAGGGAACCAAGTGATTAAAAGGGGGACACACTTTTAGGTTAAAAAAAAGAAAAACCAATTTGGGCAAATGGTTCTGGATGCAAATGGAAAGCGATCAGAGAAAGCTCAGAGAGGAAGGTTTTCATCAGATTTGTGCATCGAAAAGATCACACACACCTCCCGTCCCGCCACCCCTCCTGCTCTACCTCTTGGGCAAAGTGGAAATTAATTTGACTGTTATCAGTCTGTACCTGGAAAACCAGCCAGAGTGCTGTTGCCCTACCCATTAAAGATGGCAGCCTGAACCGAGGTAGGAGTGGTGAAAATTAGATATGAGCTGTAAAGGAGAGGGGCTGTTGAGGTGACATCCAGGTTCCTGGATGTGGCCATGGGCAGATGGTGACACTGTTCACTGCAGAGCAACCTGAATGATAAAGGGAAATATCATTAAGTCAGTCTGAGATGTATTGAATTTAAAGGATCATTGAAAACTCCAGTCTTCTGGCCGGCGCCGCGGCTCACTAGGCTAATCCTCCGCCTTGCGGCGCCGGCACACCGGGTTCTAGTCCCGGTCGGGGTGCCGGATTCTGTCCCGGTTGCCCCTCTTCCAGGCCAGCCCTCTGCTGTGGCCAGGGAGTGCAGTGGAGGATGGCCCAAGTGCTTGGGCCCTGCACCCCATGGGAGACCAGGAGAAGCACCTGGCTCCTGCCATTGGATCAGCGCAGTGCGCTGGCCGCAGCGCGCCGGCCATGGCGGCCATTGGAGGGTGAACCAACGGCAAAGGAAGACCTTTCTCTCTGTCTCTCTCTCTCACTGTCCACTCTGCCTGTCCAAAAAAAAATAAAAAAAAAAGAAAACTCCAGTCTTCCATTAAAAGGTCTGATTAATAGGTCCGGAGTTCAGGAGAGAAATGTAGGTTAGAAATAAGGTTTGGGAATTTGTAGCAAATGGGAGGGTACTTTAAAAACTTCTAGGAAGATAGAATTAAAAGATGAATTTATTTTGGTGCAAATCTATCTATCTATCTATCTATCTATCTATCTATCTATGGTGATTTGAAAGGCAGCAAAGCAGAGAGACTGAGATCTCCTATCTGTAGGCATTTAAATGGCCACAACAGCCAGTGTTAGGCCATGCCAAAACCAGGAGCCAGGGACTCATCATTGCAGGTCTCCCACACAGGTGGCAAAGACCTACATGAGTATATGAGCCATCACCTGCTGCCTCCTAGGGTGTGCGTTAGCAGGAGACTGGAGAAAACAGAGCTGGGCCTTAACATGGGGCACACTGATATGACACACAGACATTCCAAGTGGCATAGGCCAAATGCCTGCCCCTATTTTTTGCAAGTTTGCAATCTGATGCATGTGAGGGGCCTTCAAAAAGTTAATGCTAACTACAGATTATGAAAAAACGATGCATGGCTTCCCAAATTTTTGGCATCAAAATAATTTTTCTTTTTAATTCCATTTTCTGCAAAATTTCTGTTTGTGTTTCTGTAGACGTGCCTTGAAGCCATAGGTAGGTGAGGGCACCCATCACAGTTCCTGTTATCCTCCCAGCAGCTCATCCATGACAGTTTCCCGTGTAACTCCCCTGGCTCGTTCAAGCCCTCCACCCTCATCTAGCTCCATGACTAGGTCTCTGTTCCATAAGCCAAGCCCATATGAAATTTGACCTTAGGTTAGACTTGGCTGTGGACACGACTCACAAAGATACTCATAATACAATGAATTTCTCAACTCTCCAGGAGAGAAAGGAAAAACACAAGAACTCACCCTAACTCCTGACTCTTCCACAGTGTGTGTTCAATCAGCTCCATGCAAGTCTTCTTCCAGAAGCTACTAACAGAATGATTAACTCATTTGTTCTCCATGTGGGAGGACTCCATGTGGGGAGGCATGTCTAATATGATTACAGGTAGAGTGACTTCTAGAACTGCTAGTAACTGAATACAACTTCTGCCTTCCAGCCTCGCCCAGTGATAAAAATGCCACCGCAGGTATGAGTATCTCTCGCAACTCTTTTTCTGAAGCTATTTTCCTTGCTGTGGATTCCTTATCTCCTTGTTCCTTAATTTGGTGAAACAGCTTCTAGTGTACTTCCAATTCTTTCTCAAAGAATATTTTTGGTGGCCTTTACTTTTTTCCTTCCTTCCTTCCTTCCTTCCTTCCTTTTTTTTTTTTAGATTTAAATCCCATCTGATGCAGGATACAGGTAATCCCCAGCCGAGGCTTAACGTGTTGCACCACAACACCCATCCCTTCTTTCCCTTTTTTTAAAAATTAATTAATTAATTAAGTCAGCAGGCAGGGAGAGAAGGAAAATAGAGAGAAAGAAATCTTCCATCTGCTGGTTCGTTCTCCAAATGGCCATAAGAGTTGAGGCTGGACAAAGCCAAAGCCAGAAGCCCAGAACTCCAGCCAGGTCTCCCATGTGGGTGGAAGGGGCCTGTGTACATAAGCCACTCTCTGCTGCACTCCCAGCTGCATTACAGAGAGCTGGATTGGAAGCAGAGCAGCCAAGGCTTCACCCCGTACTTCAATGTGGGATGCCAGCCTTGAAGGTGGCGCCTTAACCTGCTGTGCCACAGCACGGGCCCCTCTTTTTTGTCTGTTTATGGACTATTATCCTTAGTCCTAATATGGACTATGGATAATAGTCTTAATATGGACTATTATCCTTCAAGATGAGAAAACTGTTGAATGGTCCCCAAACAAATTGTCTCCCTAAAACACCTTTTGACTTCATTTACTAGTTAATGGGTTGGGAGGTAAAATCAATTTGACTTTAGGAACTCCCACATTACCATGGACTTCATGGTTTGATTAATGTTCCCAGGGCAGGTGTTTAGCCTAGTCGGCCGCCTCCCACCAATATGCCCTCATCTCATATCACAGAATCAGAGTATAAGGGTCCTCACATCAGAGGACTTGGGTCCAAAACCTTGCTCTGACTCCTGGCTCCGGTTTCAAGCTAATGCAGCAGCAGTTCATGGGCTCAAGTAGTTGAGTCCTTGCTACTCACTTGGAAAATCGGATTGAGCTCCTGGCTCCTGGCTTTGGCCCCAGCCCAGTCCCATATCAGCCCCAGTCATTGTGGGCATTTGAGGAATGAACCAGCAGATGGAATCTCTCTCTTTCCCTCTCTGCCTCTTGCTGTATACAAATATATGTAAAATATGCTGATAATTCTGATATGCAACAAGGGTTGAAAAGAACTTAAACAGAAAAATAATGACCTGCTTAAGAATTCTGATTCTTCAGAATGGGGTTTTCATAATACCATTTAATATTTCATGTTGCCTTGGGGCCAGCGCCATAGCTCACTTGGTTAATCCTCTGCCTGTGACACTGGCATCCCATATGGGCACTGGGTTCTAGTCCCGGTTGCTCCTCTTCCGGTCCTGCTCGCTGCTGTGGCCCAGTAATGCAGTGGAGAATGGCCCAGGTCCTTGGGCCCTGCGCCCGCATGGGAGACCAGGAGGAAGCACCTGGCTCCTGGCTTTGGATCGGCACAGCGCTGGCCATGGCGGCCATTTGGGGAGTGAACCAACGGAACACAGACCTTTTTCTCTGTCTCTCTCTCTCACTGTCTATAATTCTACCTGTCAAATAAGTTAAAATATATATATATTTCACGTTGCCACCAGGATAATCCTAGAAAGACTTTTTTCCTAGAAGAACATTCAGAGATTATTTTTATCCACTTCTGCTCTCAGGTGCAAAAGCACTTAAATTTCATGTTAGCCAATTTTCTGTTGCTCTGCTTTTGATGAGAAGGAAGAACATGCTCCACTGTACAAAGATCCTCTGTGGAGACTCCTCTGTATTTTTTTTTTCCTGCCCCAGCTCCCTTTAATTTTTTGTTTCTGCTTCTCCTCTTTGGACTTCCTTGTTTGTGTTGTTGGACTTCTTCAGAGTGCCGGGATGAGAAGTTCGCTTGCACAAGACTCTACTCTGTTCATCGCCCAATCAAACAATGTGTTCACCAGCTGTGCTTCACCAGGTACGGGATCCCAGAGTGTTTAGAAAACACCAACCTCGGTAGTGTTTTTGTGTCCGTGACTATTTAATGAGCACCCACAATGAAATGGCAATCCTTGACGGAGTTTTAGCATACTCCTCTTAGCTATTCCTGGGGGTGTTGGTTGGAACCTGGGGTGTGGGCTGAGATTTAGAGAGGATACACTAATAGACACTAGAAGTAAGTGAAAGTGGGGGCTGGGGGCAGGAGGGCCCTGACGGAAACACTGGTATGGCATGTGGACTCCATTCCCTGATAGAAAGATGTTCCAGCAAAAAGAGCCAACTCTGAAGGTAGAACAAGGGGGGAGGGGCGTGGCGCTGGGGCTTGGTCGATAAAGCCACCGCCTGCAGCGCCAGCATCGCATATGGGCGCTGGTTCTAGTTCTGGCTGTTCTGCTTCTGATCCAGCTCTCTGCTGTGGCCTGGGAAAGCAGTAGAAGATGGCCCAAGTCCTTGGGCCCCTGCACCCATGTGGGAGACCCAGAAGAAGCTTCTGACTCCCAGTTTTGGATTAGCTCAGCTGTAGCCGTTATGGTCCTCTGGGGAGTGAACCAGTGGATGGAAGATTTCTCTCTCTCTCTCTCTGCCTTTCAAATAAATAAATAAATACATTTTTTTAAAAGAACATAGTGGGAGGAGTAGTGAGTTTGACTCTAGGCAGAGTGTGCAAAATGTCTGTAGGAAGATTAATTAATTCCATTGCATCCTCTAAATTCCACTGGGAAATGTAAAAAGAAGTCTGAAAATTTTAAGTACAGATAAGGGAATACATACCAGGAACACAGAAGAGTGGGGAAAACACAGGTTGAAGCGCCTTCTCACACCTAGCACCTAGGCAAATTCTCCCTACCAAGGTGCTTTTCTCTCTCTCTTTTTTGGCCATGACATTGGGACTGTCACAGTTTACGACGTATGTACATCATCAACAATGAGATCTGCTCCCGTCTTGTCTGTAAGGAACACGAAGTTATGAAAGGTAAGAAAACACCTGGCTATTTAATGGGGACAGACTGTTATGAAAGAACCATCCAGACACGATGCTAATGAACCCACAGCCTGGTTTTGGAGTAGGACTTGAGTCTACCTCCTTTGCACCCATCAGCTCCTGCAAGACGTTATCCTAAATACCCAATCTATGGAAAGTATTATACGTAATATACAAATTCAGCCCTAAGAAAATCATCACTAGATCCCTGTACAAGTATGTTGTAATCCCACACTCCTAAAGAGAGGTCTTCTGAAGCATTTAATATTTTTTAAGATTTATTTATTTGAATAGCAAAGAGAGAGAGGGAGAGGGAGAGAGAAAGAGAGAGAGAGAGACAGAGAGAGACAGAGAGAGAGATCTTCCATCTGCTGGTTCACTCCCCAAATGGTGGCAATAGTCAGGGCTGGGCCAGGCTGAAGCCAGGAGCCAGGAGCTCCATCTGGGTCTCCCACCTGTGTAGCAAGAACTCAAGTACTTGAGCCATCATCTGTTGCTTCCCAAGTACTTTAGTAGGGAGTCAGATTAGAAGTGGAATAGCTGGGACTTGAACTGGCATTCCAATAGGGGATGTGGATGTCCTAAGTTGTGGCTTAACTCACTGTGCCAGGGGACCTACCTTGTGGCATAGAAGGTAAAGCCGTAGCCTGCAATGTTGGCATCCCATATGGGTGCCGATTCAAGGCCCAGCTGCTCCACTTCCAATCCAGCTCTCTGCTAATGCACCTGGGAAAGCAGCAGAGGGTGGCCCAAGTGTTTGGGCCCCTGTCACCCACATGGGAGACCTGGACGAAGCTCCTGGCTCTTGGCTTCAGCCGGAGTATTTGGGACTCTAGGTACTTTCAAGTGAACCAGTGGATGGAAGATCCCTCTCTCTTTCTCTCTGTCTCTCCTTCTCCCTTGGTAACTCTGATTTTTAAAATAAATAAACAAATCCTGAAACAAACAAAAAAGACTCACTGTGCTACAATGCCTGCCCTGTGAAGCATTTTAGTAATTATTCACTGGCATTCTAGGGAAAAACCAAGTTAGCTGTTACAGACAATAGCATCTGCTTGTTAATAGCCATACTAACAACTCTAAGACACTCACACACATACATACATACACTAATTCGGGGGCAGTAAGTTTGGACAAGGCCTACAAATTAAAAAAATTGACAAGGTATTTAGAAATCAGCTACAATGGGGCAGACGTTTGGCCTTGCAGTTAAGATGTTGGTTGGGACTCTTGCATCCCCTATTGGAGTGCCTAAGTTCCAGAGCTCAGCTTCCGATTCCAGTTCCTGCTAATACACCCCTTGGGAGGCAGCAGGTGATGGCTCAGGTAGATGGGACCCTGCCAGCCATCTTGCAACTCTCTTTGGGTTCACAGCTGCTGGCTTCAGCCTGACTTAGCACTAGCTGTTGTATGCATTTGGGGAGCAAACCAGCAGATGGAAGATCTTTGTCTCTGTCTCTCACACACTGTCTCTCTGCCTCTCAAATAGAAAAAATAATAATAATTACAAAAAATAGAAATCAACTCTGTTGTAAACAGTACACCAATTCCAGGAACCACTTACAATGTTTATTGTGAAATTTTGGCATTAGAAGAAAGATGTTATAAGGATAATTACAAGGGCCCAGCATGTGTGGTTATAGACCGTGTACGGTAGGAAGAGACACTTCTCACCTTCCCCACGGGCAGCCCCGAACGATGGCTGCGGTTGGTGAAAACACCACAGACTCTGGCCTTTCTGACTCAGCAGCCAGCTTTGTGCCGAGCTCCTGAGTAAGAGCTGAAGTCAACTTCGCAGAAGGAAACTTGCTGCTGGTCCCCTTTGTTTTTGTGCACGCCACCTGCAAGGGAAGCACCTTGAGATTTAGGATGAGTGTTGGGGACTCTAGGCACTTTCAGGTATCCCTGGGGACTCACTCAAGTTAGCTGTTTGCACATAGTAAACACCTAAATTTGTACTGAATGACTGGTCTTCATTTTTCTAGATCCATGATTAGAAGAATTGGGAGCTAGGTATACACAGGAAACTAACATTTAATGGCCACCTGTTCTAGGTACTTTGCATAAAAGATTTCATTTTAATACTCACAAATAAACTGGTGAGGTGGATATTTTAGTGCCAATTTTACAGAAAGGGATAATGAAATTCAGAAAAGTTAAGAGACTTTCTAGTAAGTGGTAAGTGACCAATAAGTGGCAGAGCTGAGGTTGAACCAAGATCTTTTTCTCTTCAACCTTTTCGCACCCCCATGTTAGGGAGCCTTCTCTTTCCCTTAGATGCAGGCCTTGTTGCGCTCCTGCACTCTCTTCCATTGTGCTCCGTTTCCCTTCTAGATGAGCTTTGCCGTCAGATGGCTGGTCTGCCCCCTCGGCGACTCCGCCGCTCCAACTACTTCCGACTTCCTCCTTGCGAAAATGTGAATTTGCAGAGACCCGGTGGTCTGTGATCATCATCAAGGAAGAGGAAAGAAGCAAGAATACGTGGTGAGAGGAAGGAGAAATTCCTTCTGCTCCAACCATCGCCAGCTAACCCATACACAGTAGTATTTTTTAAGCCAATGCCTTTGTAATGTCCAGCTTTTTGCCCCTGTTCCCTAATTTTTCACCCAGATAACATTTATCTCATTTTTCAGTACTCAGAATACAACATATATATTATTGCATGGTCTTGCTGCTTCCCCATATGATAGACATAGTGGATAAAGGATGACCACATGGTTTCTATACAAACATTCTACATTCACTTTCAAGGGAGACTAGATGTTAGATTAATAATCTCTACTATTGGATCTGTTAAAGATAGAGTTTCGGATGTCTATCCTTGTCTATTCTGGCTAACCACAGACCATCACTTATTTTCCCTTGAAGAGTTTCCTGGATAACTGCCCGTCATTTATGTGTTTCTTTTTATTCTTCATGATGTTGCCAGATTGTCTAAAGTTTTCCTAGCAGGTCTTCTTTATGGGAAAGATAACAATAGCTTTTACAGTTTCTCCAACAGAGCCATGGATTACACTTGCAATATAAAGACCCCAAATGTCTCTGCTAATCTCAGAGGCAGGGGCTAAAGAGAGAGAGGACTAAGCTTGGGGGAGAACTTGTACTCAACACTGCCCTGTCCAACTTTTCACGCAGTTGTCCAATGAGGAAGCAGGACAGGAAGTATTTCCTCTTTACTTAATCGCTTATGGCAGCACAATTGGCCTTCTATATCCATGGGTTCCACATCCATAGGTTCAACCCAATGTGGGCCAAAAATATTTTTTAAAAAAGTTTGCATCTGTACTAATATGCACAGGTTTTCCTGGTCATTCCCTATACAATATAGTCAACAACTATTTACATAGCATTTACACTGTATTAGGTATAAGAAGTAATCTAGAGATGATTTAAAGCAGACAGGAGGATGTGGGTAGGTTGCATGCAAATACTATACCATTTTATATGATACTTGAACATTCGAAAATTTAGGTATCAGGGGTAGATCCTGGAACTGATTTCCCATGGATACTGAAGGCCTACTGAACAGGTTAGCTGATCTCCGAAAAGCGAACTAGACAACTTGATGTGAAACCACACCATTGGTCAGTGTTTCCTTGAGTTGTGGAGACTTGTTCATCTTCACCACTTACCAAGTATGCAAACAGAGATCAGTGTACAAATGGCTTCCAGAATATCCTGATTCGGAGCCTGAATTTCAATAGGCAAACAGAAAGTTTACCTAATAGCTAATGTGAAAGATGGATAAACACAATACTCAGATAGTCCACATGCTTATCCTGGCCCCAGCAGGAGCCCTGTAGACTCAAAGAACTCACTTTCCCTCATTGGGTCCTAATTTAATTCATCTCATTTTTAAAATGAAATGCTTACATTTATGTTTAAGTTTCTTTTAATTCTTCAGTTTTCTGAGTTGAAATGCATTAGTCATATTTCTTGACACCTAGATGCAGTCCAACTCACACAAACTTGTCTGTCTCATCGTGGATAAGGATGCAGTCCACAATGTAATTGAACAAAATCCCATGGTAGTGACAAATTATGTATTATGAATCTTCTGTCTAAAGAACTCAATAACTTTCTATAAAAGCCAAGGGAATTCAAGAGGAATTAGGGGACAAGTTGCATCTGACAATAGGGGTTGGATTTCTTTCACGTTGCTGAGAAAACTAGCTAAATGTGTGTTGGATTCTTACTATTAAGTAATAATGAGATTAACATAATTTAGCTTAATGGGATTGACATAACTGATTAAAGAGAAATGCTAGAAAAATCCCCGAAGTAAGTCATCACTACTCCTTGCCATCTCTAGAATTAAACGTACTCATAGATAGATGCATTCAATGTATACTGTAACCACTGTAGAGAAGCCTCATAGGCACAGGATTTCCAAGAATCATTTTAAAGAATCTGCCTATGAACTTGACCCACCTGCTGCACATTGAACGAGAGGTGACATTCCCAGCAGACAACACCTTTATGCCTGTATTGTGTCTATTGAAAATTAAACGTTTTAAAATAAATTTTTTCCAATCTCTCAGAATAAAGTTGCTTTTGGTCTGATTATTTGTTTCTCTCTTTTATGTTTACAAAAAAGACCTTAATTTATGGTCTTTTATCCCACTTTGAAAAGTGAGTACCAATCTTGGTCAGATTCCCTACTCTGCATTTCTCTCTCTATCCCTCATGCTACAACTTCACCACTGGTTCTCCAACATTCCCCGCTGATCTATTCTCTTCCACATACGGCTCCTGTTTCCTTTTCTGTCCCCCACGTCCAATAACTTGGTGAAGTTTCACGCTTTACTCTCACTTCCCTTTTGAATGATCAAATTCCTCTGGTTTTCTTTCCTTTTTTCTTTTCTAAGTTTATTTATTTATTTGAAGCCAGAATGACAGAGAAAAAGAGACAGAATTTCCATCTGCTGGCTCACTCTCTAAATGCCTGCAACAGCCAGGGCTGGGCCAGGCCGTAGCCAAGACCCCAGAATTCGATCCCGGTCTTCCTCAGAGGTGGCAGGGTCCCTAGCACTTGGGCCGTTACCTGCTGCCTCTCAGAATGCACATTAGCAGGAAGCTGAATCAGAAATGGAGGTGGAACTGGACCCTAGGCACTCTAATATGGGATGAGGTGTCCCAAGTTTAATCTGCTTTGTCACAAGCCCTCCCCCACATTCCTCTCTTCTGCCATTTCTCATTCAAAAGTGTTCTCAGGGTGGATATTTGGCCCAGCTGTCTAGACTCTGTGTGAGACACCCAGATCCCATGTTGGAGTGCCTGGTTTGAGTTCTAGCTCTTCTCTCAGTTCCAGCTAATGAACACCCTGAGGGACGTCAAGTGCTGGCTCCAGCACTGGGTGCCTCCTGCCCACCCACATCGTAGGCCCCGAATGAGTTCCTGGCTTCCAGCTCTAGCTTGGCCCAGCTCCGGCTGTTGTGGGCATTTGTGAAGTGAATTAGCAGATGGGACATCTCTCCCCCTCCCCCAAAGAGATAAATAATTTTTAAAAAGTGTTTTATATATTTTCCAACTCTTCTTACTACATAAACCAAAATTTCTAACTTGCTTTCTTTATCTTTAAAGTCTTTACTTTCCCCTAAGAAAGGTCCCTAGTCTCAGTCTCCGTCGATTGCTTTGTTCTCAGTCACCTCCCTGGCACTTCTCTGCACTGGCAGAATTTTTTTCTCTCCTCTGCTATTGCTGTTTGCCCTCTGGTTTTCTTTCCTTGTTCCCTCCTGTGAAAGAATTGGAAAATCTTTTCTTCTTCAAGGTATTAACATTATTCTTTTTCTAGTAAACACTAATAATTACCTTTTTTTAAAAAAGATTTATTTTATTTATTTGAAAGGCAGAGTTACAGAGACAGGTAAAGACAAAGAGAGAGGTCTTGCATCTGCTGGTTCACTCCCCAAAGGGCTGCAACAACCAGGGTTGGCCAGGCTGAAGCCAGGAGCTGGATAGGAAGTGGAGCAGCCGGGACTCGAACCAGCACCCATATGGGATGCCGTTGTCGCAGGCCAGGGCTTTAACCCGCTGCCTGAAAAACTACCCAGCCCTGAAAAAATACCTTTTAAGCAAGGAATCTATATTTTAATACAAAGCAATTATTTAAAACAAAACAATGGATTTTTAGAAAATAATTATTTATTTATTTGAAAGGTAGGGTTACAGAGAGGCAGAGACAGAGAGAGAGAGATCTTCCATCCACTGGTTCACTCCTCAAATGGCTGCAATGACTGGAGCTGGGCCCATCCAAAGCCAAGAGCCAGGAGCTTCTTCCACGTTTCCCACGTGGGTGCAGGGACCCTCTCTGCTGCTTTCCCAGGCCGTAGCACAGAGCTGTATCAGAAATGGAGCAGCCAGGCAGGACTCAACCCGGCACCTATATGGGATGCTGGTCCTGCAGGCAGCAACTTTACCCAGTAAGCCACAGTGCAGGCCCCAAGAATGGATTTCTTAATGTGGAAATGAAGGGATTTGGTCTGGCCGGCGCCGCGGCTCACTAGGCTAATCCTCTGCCTTGCGGCGCCGGCACACGAGGTTCTAGTCCCGGTCGGGGCGCCGGATTCTGTCCCGTTTGCCCCTCTTCCAGGCCAGCTCTCTGCTGTGGCCAGGGAGTGCAGTGGAGGATGGCCCAGGTGCTTGGGCCCTGCACCCCATGCGAGACCAGGATAAGCACCTGGCTCCTGCCATCGGATCAGCGCGGTGTGCCGGCCGCAGCGCGCTGGCCGCGGCGGCCATTGGAGGGTGAACCAACGGCAAAAGGAAGACTTTCTCTCTCTCTCTCTCTCTCTCTCTCACTGTCCACTCTGCCTGTCAAAAAAAAAAAAAAAAAAAAGTCTTTGGTGACATATCAGTAAAGACTGATTGGCCTTCCTGGTTTCTTGAATACATAATAGCCTCATCAGATCACCCTAAGGTTCACCCTTACTTTCCCTTCGCAAATTCAGTGGATCCTACTTTGAACCTAACTTTTCCTGTATTTCATACTTATGATCCAAGAAAACTCTCCTTCCACCCGGAGTGAGCAAATTCTGGAAATTCAAGTGTGCGCTGTGCTCAGTAAATCATCTCACGCACACTTTCTCTTGGTTTTCCTTTGACTCACACGCAGGTGGATCGAAGCCCAGCTGGTCAGCCCACTACTGGGCCTTACTTCTGATGACATCAAGCAGTCCCTGGTGCCAGCCACAAGCACCTCCTACTCTGGGTTGGGGTGTTTGTGGCACACGAGTGAATAACCAAATATTTTACACCTGGTCAGAAGGCACAAACAAGTTGCAACCTCTAAGCTTCCTGTTCCTTTGGTACTGAAGCAGCTGCAGCAAAGTCACAGGAAAAAAGAAATGTGAGAAGAGACAGCAAAGCAGGGAACGCACCAGATAAGGAGATTGTCCCAGGCTCAGGCTAGAGGCTGGACCCTGAGGAGTCTCAAGTTCCAAGCTCCAAGGCAGCACAGTGTGGGCGTGGCCTCAGGGAGGCCTTGGTTAAAGCGGCATCACTCTGATAAGCGTTTTCACCCACCAAACCCCAGGGAAAGTGACTTGCTGAGCCCTCTGCGGTCCAGAGAGGAACAGGTGGCCGTAGTTGTTTTTCTTTCTTTCTTTCTTTTTTTCCTCTTTGCAAACCAGTCAAGCAGAGCCAAAGCAGCAGCCAGACCACGGCTTCTGGGCAGAACCCAAGACGGAAAAAGCAAATGTTGTTTATATAAATAGACGTGTGGAGCCCGGAGCTTCCTGTTAACAAATTCAGCTTCACTTGACCTCAAACCCTCACCTTTTTTTTAATAGCTGAAAATGGTTTTGTATTTTTTTCAATTAGTCTAATCACTTGGAGTAAAGTTCTAGTTTTTTTCCTAACCCCTGGATCCTGCAATTCCTTTCTCTGTCTCTGCTATTTTCCTCCCTTTTTATTTTTTCTGTGTGTTTATCAAGCCATACATCTATGCTATGTGGCTTTCTGGATACATTATTAAATTCATGCAATAATGTGTAGGGCTACATTCAAGATGATCTCATAAACTTATGTGAGATTCACCTTCTTCCTATCCACTAAAAAAGTAATAAATGAGGAGCTTTTTAATATATATTTATTTATTTGAAAAAAATTTATTTATTTGAAAGGCAGAGTTGGAGAGAAAGAGAAATAGAGAGAGAGATCTTCCATCCGCTGGTTCATCCCCCAGATGGCCACAACAGCTGGGGCTGGGTCAGGCCAAAGTCAAGAGCCTGGAACTCCATCCTGGTCTCCCACATAAGGGGCAGGGTCCCAAGTCCTTGGGCCATCTTCTGTTGCTTTCCCCAGCGCATTAGCAGGGAGCTGGATTGGAAACAGAGCAACTGGGACTCCAATGAGCATTGCTGTAGGATGTCAGCATCACCAGCAGAGCCTAACGCGGTGTGTCAATAAATGAGTTTTGACAAGTGTACGGAAATGCTCTCTATGGAAAGCAAGCTATCTTATACTGAAGGGACTGGTGGATATTCAGGTATTAAATGCAACATTAAGTGCTATTTCCTAAATATGTTATTCTGTCCCAAAAGGTCAAACAAATAGGAGTTACAATGGAAGGTAATGAAAATTGCATGGTAAACATTTCTTCCATTTGTATAAAATTATATACATATACCCTTCTATTCTTTAAAATGGATGAGGTTTCAGGGAAAAGGGAAATTGAGCCGGCGCCGCGGTTCACTAGGCTAATCCTCCGCCTAGTGGCGCCGGCACACTGGGTTCTAGTCCCGGTCGGGGCGCCAGATTCTGTCCCGTTTGCCCCTCTTCCAGGCCAGCTCTCTGCTGTGGCCAGGGAGTGCAGTGGAGGATGGCCCAAGTGCTTGGGCCCTGCACCCCATGGGAGACCAGGATAAGTACCTGGCTCCTGCCATCGGATCAGCACGGTGCGCTGGTCACAGTGCGGCAGCCGCGGCGGCCATTGGAAGGTGAACCAATGGCAAAAGGAAGACCTTTCTCTCTGTCTCTCTCTCACTGTCCACTCTGCCTGTCAAAAAAAAAAAAAAAAAAAAGGAAATTGACACAAGCTTATGAAAAGGCATAATATTGGCCGGTGCCATGGCTCACTTGGCTAATCCTCTGCCTGTGGCGCCGGCACCCCGGGTTCTAGTCCCAGTTGCTCCTCTTCCAGTCCGGCTCTCTACTGTGGCCCGGGAGGGCAGAAGAGGATGGCCCAAGTGCTTGGGTCCCTGCACCTACATTGGAGACAGGGAGGAAGTACCCGGCTCCTGGCTTTGGATCGGCACCGTGCACAGGCCGTAGCGGCCATTAAGGGAGTGAACCAATGGAAGGAAGACCTTTCTCTCTGTCTCTCACTGTCTAACTCTGCCTGGCAAAAAAAAAAAAAAAAGCATAACAGTAAAATCCAAAGCTATTGTAAACAAAAATTTCTTCAAAATGTTCATTTAAATTATGAATGGCAGCTCCCTGATTAGTCAAGAGATTTTTGTGGGGCCGGTGCTGTGGTGTAAAACCACCGCCTATGGGTAAAACCACCTCCTGCAGTGCCAGCGTCCCATATGGGCATTTGTTCAAGTCCCAGCTGCTCCACT